AGTAATTAAATAGAAAAACACCTGTTTGAATCCTATCACAAGTTCATTGAAGGTCATCAAATTACTCCCCGCCTGGGTGACGCTACCTAACTTGCAACTACGGCGTAATGGCCAAATAAAATTTTCATTATCATTTACGAAAATTTCGGGCTGTAACTGATGTAGTGATAAAAGTGCGTTTAAGTCTATCAACAACAAAAAGGCCCTTTGTTTCGCTGTGCATTTTGGTGTTGTTTAAGCAATTTAATTGGGCTGTTTTTATTGAGTTTGGTAAAGCTACAATGACACATTCCCTATGGTGTGCCAGCGCCCCACCGTATCAGTATGAGATGCTCGTTCTTTATTTTATCTTTAATTTTTATTATTGTCTTTATTAATTTTTTTTTCATGTTTTTCCCTTTCTTGATAACGATTCCCCAATTCTGTGAAGTGTCAGGTGTATATGGGCTCATTGGCGACCACAGACGGTTTTATGTTTCAAATTAAGGTCGTCATGTGGCCCATTTTACAGATCAATCTGTAAACGTAATGCTACGTTTACGTGCGACAAGTATCAAGAATATCTGTTTCGCATGCTAGGAGAGATTACATCAAATCTTTTTTATTTTGGCTATTTACCTTCTGGTGGGTGGAAGAGAGAATAAAAGAATAGCCTTTAATCTAGAACAATTATCGTCTTTTTACGGTGGTCCCTTAGACTGAGAACCGTTGCCAAATTCCTCAGGTTATGACGCAAATTCAGTTGCAAAGATAGTCGACTAGTATGTCGTGAATGGTAAATGAATCACATCAAAAGGATTTTAAAAAGGCATAAGAAAGGAACTTTATTTTGGCAGAATAATAAAAACTTATTTTCTCCCTCTAACTTGCTAAAACTGCCACTGATAAAATCAAAACTAAAAAAAAAAACAAATAGAGAAAAATTACCGGGGTGCTAGCGAGACGAGACCTATTGTCGCTATTGCCCTGTGGCACATTTATAATGAATTAGTCGCCAATATTTTTTGTGCATTATATGCATCTTTTGATAGAAATCAAAGACACCATGAATGCCTGGTTTTATGTAATTTCTTTTTTTTTTAAGTTAAATGTCCTGTGTACGAAAACAGAACATGTCAAGGTCTCAATAAAAAGTTGAGTTCGCAAGAATGGCGACTGAAAAACGAAATATTTAGTGTAAGTTCTACTGTGAATATAAGATACTAGTGCATGTGGGTTAAACAAAAATAAATATAACAGAGAAATTTTAGAGATGTTACAAGTTCGAGCAAAGAAGTATAATTAAACACTAACCCATAAGTCATGAGGTGTGTTAGAAAAGAGAGGGGGGGATAGTAGTATTTAGATGTGGAATGAGATATTTAATAATTTAACTCTGATGCAACTAACAGTTCAACGTGGAGATATATTCCCGATACACTGACGTCCACATAGAGCAGCGGGTCTCATTAAAACGCGCTTTTAATTAAATATGCGCCACGTGCCCTTTTGGCGCAGGGTAAATTCAGCAAGCACGTTCAAAACTATTTTAGCTAATTGCATGGCATGCTATACGCTATTACCTGGACACCAATCCAGGGTAACGGACAATCGGACCTGTGTGGTCAAGGAATTTCATCAGTCCCGGTGAGTTGTATAAAAGCCCGCAGATTCTCTGTCAAAATCAGTTCTCATCTCTGACGACTCCAGCACTTCTACCTCGCCAACATGAAGGTTCTCATCGCTCTCGTTGCCCTCGTGGCCGTCGCCTCCGCCGTCTACCCAAAGGTTAGGACCCACGTGAAGCCAGTTACCACCTACCACAACAAGGTTGTTGTTAACCGAGTAAGTTCACAGTAATATATTGTTTTCTCGAAACAATGAAAAGTTTACTAAGGGAAGTACCACATAACATAAATAATTAAACATCCAGGGCAATATAGGCCAACAGGCACTTTTTATAACCAAAATCACCAATTGTTGTTTTTTTTTAAGCGCAATATCTGTACTTTTGGAAAAATATTGTTTATAAACGGATGGAAATTTCATAGAGGGATTGTTGACCACAAATTAATTTAAAAAAAAACAATTATATCTACTAAAGAAGAGATAATCGCAGCTGTAGACATTTTGTGTTTAGAACAGACAATTAAAATTTGAGCTATGTTTCCCTTTTAGGTTCCAACTGTTAACTACAGAAAAGTCCACGGCTACAGAACCGTCCAGGTCCCAACTGTCAATGTTGTCCCAGTCCGCGGCTACAGAACCGTTAAGAATGTCGTCCCAGTCCCAGTGAGAGGATACGCCGTCCAGCGTACCGTTGTTGGTGACGGTTATGGTGCTGGTTATGGTTATGATGCCGGCTATGGCTATGGTGACCGTTATGATGCTGGATACGGCTACAACGCCGGATACGGCTATGATGCCGGATACGGATACAACGCTGGTTACGGCAAATATTAAACGGGACATACGTAAGTAGACATTTTTGCAATTCTTTACTGGAGCACCAAACTCCATATGATGTATGAAAAAAAACTGAAACTATAACTTGTGTGTCAATTTTTCATTGTCAAGTTTACAAAGGTTTTCGTGAATATATTTGGTGCAAACTAAACTTATTTTCAAACTAATTAACATGTCACTTATAATTTCTGTTCGCATAAAAGAGCAAATATATCGAACTTTTCTTAGTACATATTCTTATGCAGATGTTTCTTTCATTACAGTGACATCTATCGGCAGGTAATGACAATGTGACGCGGTACACATGGAAGCAAGCACGATGCAGTTCGGCACACTGAAATTATGATCTCTAAATTTGAAAAAAATATGCTGAATAAACATGCTTCTCTTTAAAATACATACATGTTTTATTTGACTTTTCTTAATAAGGAGAAATATGTGGAGAAAGGGGGAGGAATCTCCTTATAAGGTATACGCAAAATAGGGAATGCGCTGTGTTTTATGAGNTCTTTTCTTTCCTTCTCTTTTGCACCTCCTCGTTATTTCTGATTCCGATCTCTCTCTCTCTCTCTCTCTCTCCCTCTCTCTCTCTCATTCATTTACCTATTGCCAATTGCGTAGTACAGTGCGTGCCGCACCATATTTGATGACATTAGAGTTCAACAAATGCCAGCGATTGCCTTTCAAAATACCACACTTGATACAAGTGGCCACTTTAGAAATTGAAAACGCACAGAACTATTCTTCAACATGCCTTAAAAGACAATTTTTATTTGTTTGAATGAGGAATTTTATTTGGCGTTCATGTCAAACCCGTATATATTTATCGGAATGGGGATGTTGACCGCGCACGCTCCGGCGAAATGTTAATTAAAGTTAGTAAACATATCATGCTACAAGTAATTAAATAGAAAAACACCTGTTTGAATCCTATCACAAGTTCATTGAAGGTCATCAAATTACTCTCCGCCTGGGTGACGCTACCTAACTTGCAACTACGGCGTAATGGTCAAATAAAATTTTCATTATCATTTACGAAAATTTCGGGCTGTAACTGAAGTAGTGATAAAAGTGCGTTTAAGTCTATCAACAAAAAAAGGCCCTTTGTTTCGCTGTGCATTTTGGTGTTGTTTAAGCAATTTAATTGGGCTGTTTTTATTGAGTTTGGTAAAGCTACAATGACACAGCCCTTTTGTGTGCCAGCGCCCCACCGTATCAGTATGAGATGCTCGTTCTTTATTTTATCTTTAATTTTTATTATTGTCGTTATTAATTTTTTTTTCATGTTTTTCCCTTTCTTGATAACGATTCCCCAATTCTGTGAAGTGTCAGGTGTATATGGGCTCATTGGCGACCACAGACGGTTTTATGTTTTCAAATTAAGGTCGCCATGTGGCCCATTTTACAGATCAATCTGTAAACGTAATGCTACGTTTACGTGCGACAAGTATCAAGAATATCTGTTTCGCATGCTAGGAGAGATTACATCAAATCTTTTTTATTTTGGCTATTTACCTTCTGGTGGGTGGAAGAGAGAATAAAAAAATAGCCTTTAATTTAGAACAATTATCGTCTTTTTACAGTGGTCCCTTAGACTGAGAACCGTTGCTAAATTCCTCAGGTTATAAAGCAAATTCAGTTGAAAAGATAGTCGACTAGTATGTCGTAAATGGTACGTGAATCACATCCAAAAGATTTTTGAAAAGCATAAGAAAGGAACTTTTTTTGGTAGAATGACACAAGCTTATTTTTCTCCCTCTAATTTGCTAAAACTGCCACTGATAAAATCAAAAATTAAAAAAAAAAAAAACAAATAGAGAAAAATTACCGGTGCTAGCGAGACGAGACCTATTGACGCTATTCCCCTGTGGCACATTTAAAATGAATTAGTCGCCAATATTTTTTTGTGCATTATATGCATCGTTTGATAGAAATCAAAGACACCATGAATGCCTGGTTTTATGTAATTTCTTTTTTTTTTTAAGTTAAATGTCCTTTGCATGAAAACAGAACATGTCAAGGTCTCAATAAAAAGTTGAGTTCGCAAGAATGGCGACTGAAAAACGAAATATTTAGTGTAAGTTCTACTGTGAATATGAGATACATGTACTAGTGCATGTGGGTTAAACAAAAATAAATATAACAGAGAAATTTTAGAGATGTAACAAGTTCGAGCAAAAAAGTATAATTAAACACTAACCCATAAGTCATGAGGTGTGTTAGAAAAGAGAGGGGGGGATAGTAGTATTTAGATGTGGAATGAATATTTAATAATTTAACTCTGATGCAACTAACAGTTCAACTTTGAGATATATTCCCGATACACTGACGTCCACATAGAGCAGCGGGTCTCAATAAAACGCGCTTTTAATTAAATATGCGCCACGTGCCCTTTTGGCGCAGGGTAAATTCAGCAAGCACGTTCAAAACTATTTTAGCTAATTGCATGGCATGCTATACGCTATTACCTGGACACCAATCCAGGGTAACGGACAATCGGACCAGTGTGGTCAAGGAATTTCATCAGGCCTCGGTGAGTTGTATAAAAGCCCGCAGATTCTCGGTCAAAATCAGTTCTCATCTCTGACGACTCCAGCACCTCTACCTCGCCAACATGAAGGTTCTCATCGCTCTCGTTGCCCTCGTGGCCGTCGCCTCCGCCGTCTACCCAAAGGTTAGGACCCACGTCAAGCCAGTTACCACCTACCACAACAAGGTCGTTGTTAACCGAGTAAGTTAAAAGTCATATATTGTTTTCTCGAAACAATGAAAAGTTTACTAAGGGAAGTATCACATAACATAAATAATTAAACATCCAGGGCAATATAGGCCAACAGGAACTTTTTAAAACTAAAATCACCGTTTTTTTTTTTTTGTTTGTTTTTTGTTTGTTTTTTTAAGCGCAATATCTGTAGTTTTGGAAAAATATTTTTTATAAACGGATGGAAATTTCATAAAGGGATTGTTGACCACAAATAAATTGAAAAAAAAACAATTATATCTACTAAAGAAGAGATAATCGCAGCTGTAGACATTTTGTGTTTTGAACAGACAATTAAAATTTGAGCTATGTTTCCCTTTTAGGTTCCAACTGTCAACTACAGAAAAGTCCACGGCTACAGAACCGTCCAGGTCCCAACTGTCAATGTTGTCCCAGTCCGCGGCTACAGAACCGTTAAGAATGTCGTCCCAGTCCCAGTGAGAGGATACGCCGTCCAGCGTACTGTTGTTGGTGACGGTTATGGTGCTGGTTATGGTTATGATGCCGGCTATGGCTATGGTGACCGTTATGATGCTGGATACGGCTACAACGCCGGATACGGCTATGATGCCGGATACGGATACAACGCTGGTTACGGCAAATATTAAACGGGACATACGTAAGTAGACATTTTTGCAATTCTTTACTGGAGCACCAAACTCGATATGATGTAGGAAAAAAAACTGAAACTATAACTTGTGTGTCAATTTTTCATTGTCAAGTTTACAAAGGTTGTCGTGAATATATTTTGGTGCAAACTAAACTTATTTTCAAACTAATTAACATGTCACTTATAATTTCTGTTCGCATAAAAGAGCAAATATATCGAACTTCTTAGTACATATTCTTATGCAAATGTTTCTTTTATTACAGTGACATCTATCGGCAGGTAATGACAGTGTGACGTGGTACACATGGAAGCAAGCACGATGCAGTTCGGCACACTGAAATTATGATCTCTAAATTTGAAAAAAATATGCTGAATAAACATGCTTCTCTTTAAAATACATACATGTTTTATTTGACTTTTCTTAATAAGGAGAAATATGGGGAGAAAGGGGGAGGAATCTCCTTATAAGGTATACGCAAAATAGGGAATGCGCTGTGTTTTATGAACGTTTGGAATAGAAAAGAGGGGGGAGCATTTAGCTTCATTCCAGAAAATAAACTGTATATAAAATTATATTCGCGTCAAGCAGTTAACATCCTACCAGGTAGTACTTGAAAGCTGTTGAGTTGCGCTGTCTTGTAAGGAACTATAAAATAACTAATCACAGAGAGCATTCAGAACAGCGAACTAACAGATCCGCGGATCAAATATGGCAGATTTTTAAATGGTACGAAACTTTTGTAACAGACCGCTAGCGGACCTTGTGAGTATCAGAGTATTATTGATTTTAAAGTGCCATGAAAACTTTGAGACACATGTGAAACAGATTTTATAATGCAGATTTTGCAGTGGGACTATTTCACTCTCTAGGTTGAACATCGTACGGGTTTAGGTCGCTCATGCCGTATGCTGTATATCTCGAATTTCCAGTTTCATTATCCCGGGATTAACTCGCATAACAGGTTGGGCATGTGGACAGATGTGTACCAACCTGAGGTACTTAAACTGGTTGGCTAGCTTGATGTTGCCGTTCTCACACGTGTTATTGCAATTTGGCGGGTCTTTTTTTACATTACCACGCGGTTAATGGTATGTAACACCTAATCCAAGTGAAGGGGCAGATCAATTAGTGAGTAGAATTTTTTTTTTTTTCTGTAGGAAAATTTGATTTCGGAGGAAGATTCCAGAAAGGATATTTCCTTTCTTTTCTTTTAAAAAAATCATACAGCTACACGGATGACAAATGAAGAAAAGTGGAACGCAGAATTAAATTTTCAAAATATGTCTGCTAAAACTACTTCGTAACGAGAGAGGAGTCTAAACTTCAGTGGTTTCAGTACCCTAGAGTACAAAAGCTCTTGCAAGTAAAATCACATTTGAATATATTGGAGTTGATGACAACTGGTCTCTTTATGGTGTAGCTGAGGAAGACATTCCACATATTTTCTTTCACCGTGCGACAACTAAGGACAACAAGTGATCTGCCGACGGAGGCGGGAATCCATTGTCAAGTACGCGCCATATTTCATACGCAGACTAGCTAGTTAGTCCGCGGATCAAATTTGTTGAGAATGCTCTCTAAGAACATTTAGGCAGAATTATTGATTGCACCTTAAAATCGTGTAAATATACATGTAGATGATGGTTGGAAGGGCACAACAGCTCTTTCTTTGCTTCGCACAATTGCACAGTGTGCAGTAAGTGTTTTATGCACATATATGTTATCAGCGCCGCTTTGCAAAAATCATTTGGGTCGAGATCGCGAAGGTCCCATTGCCCTAAGACGACCATGAAGCGCGGCTATCATTATTATGTTTATATAATCGGTATCTCTGCTGCTTTTGATGGCCCCATTAACAAGGCGGGGAGGGAGGACAGTGCTTAACAGGCCGATGATTTGTCTCCGTTGTCTTAATGCGGTCGTTTAACTTTTAGCAAGGCGCATTCCAAGAAGAAATAGCTTTTAAATTATTTGTGAAAGGGTACAAGCCACAGAGATTAATGTCATCCTGGTCTGACCCAACACATCTTCCGAAATTATTAGGTGTTAGTTTTCATTTTAAAACATAATGGTACTATTTTAACCATGATTTACACCCAAAGATCGACTTTGGTGCGTGAGGGAACTCTTTTACACAGACAAAAGAAGCGATTAGTATTTTTCTGCATTTATTTATTGAGGAAAAAAGCATCTGAAAATGCATAATTCTATATCTGCTAAATATTAAATTACAATAAACGAATTTGTCAGCTATTTAATTTGCCAACTATCAGTAACGCCCGTCTCTTTATTACTACATTATTACAAAAAATAAAAATAATGAAAAATAGGGAGAAAGAGGTTATATAGTATAAAACGAATATATGAGGCAGTCAAAACTACGCAAACATAGTTACGCAAAATATGAGCATCTGAATCTCTGTTTTTTTTTTTTCGCAAATGGCATAATTGTATAGAATGGAGCGTAAGTGCCATTGTTCAATCATTTGCATTATCTACAGAGAGCAGGACATACATGTACATGTTATCCTCCATAACGGTTACACAGTGCGCATGCCCGAGAATGGCCTTGTGGGAGAGAATGTGCCAATGCCCCTTCCATCATATGCATATTTTGACAGCAACTAGCCATCTGCATGACATCTGTCATTTGTGCAGTTGGGGGCGTTAAATGTAATACACATTTGTATGAGATAATTAAGCAAAGATGAATGTATTCTAATATAATTACTGAAAGACTAAGACCGGGTTCCCATAATCTCATTACACTAACAGGGTCGATCTAACTCTGAGAGGATTCTCGCTAAATTGCATTCAGTTTAAGCGCCTTAAATGTCTGTCACGCCCACTGAAGCTACTTGGGGGGGGGGGTAATTGACCTTCAGGCACGCTTTAACTAATGGCATTTTAGATAGGGTTATGGGAGTGGCCCCTACTGTTTTTTTTTTTTTTTTTTTTTTTTTTTTTTTTTTTTTTTTTTTTTGCTATTAATGTGTTTGTTTGGAAAAAAATCCTACAATGTCACACCAGTGCTTGACAACATCAAACACGCTGTTACCTGACGCAGCTCGTCACGGGCTCCTGTCACACTCTTGCACCTATCTGACCAGAGAGAGGTGAATGCTCTCTTTATAATCATTACAGTAGACCAGATATCTCTTGTTTTCATAGCCACCAATGAATCTATTCATCTAGCCATGTTTCCCTTAAAGAGAGCGATTTCCTTTATGTTTGTCCATGGCTTTGTTTACATCTATCTTTTTATTAATTGAACCTATTCATTCATTTTAATAAATAAAACTTAAACTTAAAAGTTATAAACAAATTAATGGATAATTTAGTGATACTGTGTTACATTAATCTTCCCACACGAATGAAAATAAAGATGTTATCATATAATTGAAATGATGGTGATCGTCTTCGATACTTGTTTTTCCAAAGATTTCCTGTATTACATATGGAAGAGAGATTGGAAAGCAAGCAAAAATCTTAGGATCTTTTGAATCTTACACCCCATTTCCATAGATTAGATCGACCTACTTTGGATCGACCTAACTCCCTGGGGGTTAACGTGAATAGCTGTCAGCCGAGCGGACACGAAAGTTAATTGCCCCTTACGGCTTGTAGTGGGCGGGGACGGACACTTAAGGGGGATTATCTGACGGTAGTCTGGTGAGAGTCCCCGCGGTGATAGATCGATCTAAAGTTGTGGGAATAGACCCATAGGAGAGGGAACAAGAGTCTGCACCCTACTTTACGTCAATGAGTTTATGATTCTTTTCTATTAATTCCCATAATAGACGATTTTGAAATGCTAAAAAGAAACGTTACTTATATACAGAAGAGAATATCTTAAAACAGCTATAACAAATTAATGACCATGTTCTATAAATAAATATAATAAATAAATAAATTAAACAAATAAAAACAGTCAACCAATCAAGCAATTTATAAGAAAATGACACTGATTAATTAACCAATTGACAAAAACTTAATTAATGAAATGATCATTTGGCAAACAACCAAATACATAAATTGAATAATTATTTTAAAAAATGATTAGATAAATAAACAAGAAGTAGAGAACTTACTCCAGTGCGGCAACATTGTATATGGCGGCGCCATGCCCGTCTACCACATACATGTTGCCATACCATTTTCGGAACAATCAAGGAGTCGACTTTAGTCCCCCATCGTGAGTGGTGTAATTAACCGTTCGGAGAATGACTGTTACACAGTGCTTCTGTGTATCATTCATATCATAACAAGCCACAAGATCATCTTACATCGTATCGGACACGACAGCACCGTCACGAAATTATTATTAATATTGCGTGAACCAGCTAATGGCCAGTGACAGGGTTTAATGTACAGGTAGCCGGTAAAATGGGTCGTCACCAAATCTGCTGACCTACGCTTGACAGAGGTCATCTAAAATTTTATGTTTGCTATTTTGTTTGTACCCAACGTCATAAAATGGGTTTGTTTATCCCTGTTGTTTAAAAGGGATAACTCTTTCATGTGAGGTTCAAATTTCTGCCATAAAAACAAAGTAAACAACACATAGAAGTATGATAAATTTTAGTTTAGCACCAAAACGGCGGTTATCGCAATTACGACTATTTACTCATAATTTCCAATAGTTCTTGAATCCGTTCCCACGTGCAAAGTAAGTCAAACGATTTTTTTTTGTAATAATCTAGCCAGGGTAGCTCTCTATGAAGGTCCACGTGGTCCTATGACAAGCACAGATTTCAGAATAATTGCTAAAACTGCCGTCTTTATGGTAAAATAGAATTTATTATATTTCTGTGTGTTGTTTACAATGTATTTATTGAGGAATTTTGAATTCCCTGTGAATTAACTTGTTATCCCTTTAACTTATATTAGCTTTTAGTAGCTCAGTGGAAATATAAAGGAAGCATATTTTTTTGTTGACTTGAGAAAAAATTAAAGGATAAACATATACTTGGTGAACGTTTATGAACACCTTACTGTATAACATCAACTCCAAATCTTATACTTTATATTTTAAAAGGGAAACATGAAATGGCGAGAGAGAGAGAGAGAGAGAGAGTTACAGGAATGCTACAGTATTGTTTGATTTTTCTCAACAAAAGACCCTTAACAAGATAAAAAATAATTCCAGGTCCCATTCACTTACATGAAATGTTAATCAGCATTTAAGGAGACTGCACATAAACATACAGCTATGTAACTTTTTCTAAGAATTACACGTCCACGCCATTATACATACACTGGACAATAGAAGTGTCAACCCCTGAATCAGAGTAATCAAAGTTATAATGCCTGGTCTACTTATAATGTGGCTATTGAGTAAAAAACCGCCGTACCATGGAATTGTATTGTTGGCCTTTTCGTGAAATTTGATGTTATT